TTTTGCTTATGTGGTGCTGAGGAATCGAACCCAGGGCCTCATGCATGCAAGGCAAGCGCTCTACCACTGAGCCACCTTCCCAGCCCCACATCCTGTCTTATTCTTAACACGCATGGTGCTCCTTACCCAGAACTTGGCATAAAAGCAGTGTTCCAGTTAGGTGTGCAAAGTCCCAAGTGACTAGGCTTGTCCCACTGCAGTCCTGTTTCCCTCTGGAGGCTAGCCTTCTGTTGTTTTGTGTGTCCTTTAAAGAGATTTTAAGGCAGTTCAAACAAGGTGATGTTATGCTTTGATTTGATTGCTAGGTTCAATAACTTGATTTAGTTATCTGTACGTTCAGACCTATAACATTTTCTTTTTTGGGGGGGGGTCCAGTCGTGGAGCCTGAACTCTGGGCCTTGGCGCTGTCCCTCAGCTCTTCAGCGCAAGGCTAGCGCTCTACCACTTGAGCCTCAGCGCCACTTCCGGCTTTTTTCTTTTGCTTATGTGGTGCTGAGGAGCCAAACCCAGGGCCTCAGGCATGCAAGGCAAGCACTCTACCACTGAGCCACCTTCCCAGCCCACCTATAACATTTTCTGTGTGGTGTGAACATTTAATATTTGCCATCTTTGCACTCTTTTGATCTATGCAATAGATCTCAAAAAGCAGTATTCCTCCTGTCTAGCTGAGATTTTGTGCCCTTGACCACCTGGGTTTGTGAATATAGCACTGTCTCATTAAGCCATAGTGGATGTCCTCTTCATCCTGTTAGCCTGGGTTTGGGCTGCATTTACACAGGAACATGTGAGAGCTTGTCTTCCACTGCTCAGCTCCATGAGGGATCGGGTGGGGACAGCTGACGAGTGAACATCCAGGGCCTCCATAGCACCCATTAGGTGCTTGGCTTACTTACACATTGCAAGTGTGGCTTGAGCAAAGGCTCTGGGTGCACCTGGTTTGCTATTGAAGGAGACTCTCAGAAGCTACCAGCAATGGGGAGAGGGTTACTGCTGTGCAGGCGCAAAGGTGAATCCACACGGAAAGCCCGTGTGCCATCCCAGGCAGCCTCCACTGTCTCCCAAGGCCATGGATCCTCTCGGGGCTACAGGGCAGTGAGAGGTGAGGCCAGCTAGCTATGTGGCAATCAATAAGCTTTGAGAGTGTGTCTGGAGTTGAGCTGGCTTCTGTTTAGGGAGGAGGTGACACACGTCAGGACTTAGAGATGTGCTGTGAGCCATGAGAGACAAGGAAAAGTAGATGAGCGAAGTAGCAGCTTCCCTGGCTTCTGCCAGGGACCAGGACATGCTTCTGAGGGCCCAAGAAAGGAAATGCTTGGTAGGGGAGGAAGGGAGTGCTGGGTAACATCAGGTGACATCAGACTGGCTTGAGATGGAAGATCTGCACTCAGGACAGCTGGAAGGAAAGTGGGAAGCCCATCTGGCCTCAGGAGTATAGACCTGACCATAAACTCAGGGCCCTTGCCTGTGCACACCTGCTAAGTTACACATGCATGCACATATGTACCCCACCACGTGCTTGCCTTCTGAGTTGAACATACATTTGCATGTACACCCATACCATATGTCTGCCTTCAGGCTGTTTTTTTTTCTCCACAAACCTCTCTAGCTCCTCTTGGCTGTGTGTGAGAAGAGTACACCAATTGGTACCAGCTGCCAGGGAGCTATGCTCCCATCCATCACCAATGTCATCAACCTAGCTGACAGCCATGATCGAGCTGCCTTTGCCATGGTCACGCACGTTAAGCAGGAACCTCGGGAACGAGAGAACAGCGAGTCCAAAGAGGAGGTGAGGCTCTGGGACCTGGAGGCAAATTCCTCTTCCCACAGGAGGGTTTTATATTGGCCCAAATATCAGATCAAACAAAACCTGTGTCTACCTTGAATCTCAGAATGTAGTCCCTGAGTTTTGTTAGATTGTTCTGTTTTGTTTTTTTCCTTCTCATATGTTGAGACAGTCTTGCTGTGTAGCTCAGGCCATCCTAAAACGTGTTGTTCTCCTGCTTCAGCTTCCTAAGTGCTGGGATTACAGGCTTGTGCCTCACATCCCATTGATTACATTTTCCTAAGTTAAAGTTCAGAAAAGTTAAAATGCAGAAGCAGCATGTGCTTTATTGCCATTCTGTTTGTGGAGACAGATCACTTTTTATGAGCTAGAACTACTCAGGATGGAATACTGTTCTGAGACTTTTCTCTCCTAGTGAAGTAACCCATTTTGTGCTATAAAGCTCCACTCTGGGGGGCTCACACAAAACAGGAGCTCTGGCACTAACTGGTCCATCGGCAGCTGCTAAACCTTCTGTTTCTCTCTGCTAGAATGTGCCAACCAAGGCTGATGCAGCCTTTGTTTTGTGGTCTCTTATTTCCAATTAACTAGCATAAAGCAGGAAGTGGAGGTGTGGCTCAAGTGGTAGAGCATGAGTCTTGAGCATAAAAGCTCAGGGATGGTGCATAGACCCTTCAAGCCCTAGGACCAGAACGGGGGGAAAAATTCACTTTTGACAAACATAGGATCATTAAGTTTACATCATATATGAATTTAATGGCTTAATCTTCTTGTAATCTTCTATATGAAATAAATGGTCATCTTTGAAGTTTTTTTTGAGGACACATTTATGATATAGTCTGATGGTGGAATGGACTGACTTCCTGAGGGCTTCAGGTAGAAATAAGGCTCATTCCTATCATTCTGTTTGGGACTGGGTCATAGAGAACAATCACCACAGGTGTCGGCTAGGTAGCCATCCTATGTTCTGAAGAATGAAATGCTGTCATCCTGATAATTCACATCTTTTAGTTTATACTGTTTTATTTTCCTTTTCATAACCTGGATGTGAAAGCAAACGGATATTCTTTCCAAAGTTACTTAGAAAAAAATTAGTTAATCTAGGTGTAATAAGTAGTCATTTATTAGGATTTAAGATTACTTAATACAAATTGAGTATCCTTTATCAGAAATGCTTGTGACCTGAGTATTTCAGATTTTGAAGGATTTTGGATTTTTAAATGTTTGTGTAGACTTTATCACAGTTACGAATAATCCAAGTGATCCTTCAAACCCAAAGCTTTATGAGCATTGTATTGGCACTCAAAAAAGGTTTGAATTAAGTTTTGTATTTGTATCTCATATGAGGTATATTCTTCCTGTACTTCAAACCTCCCTAATAAGAGAATTTGACTTGTTACAAATGTGTTAGGTCGTCTGTAGGAGTTCTGTTAGATTTGATCTGCTGGTTGTGCTTGATCTCTTTGTTCTTTAGGATGTTGAGATAGATATTGAATTGGCCCCTGGAGATCAGACCAGCACACCCAAGACCAAAGAACTTTCTGAGAAGGACATTGGAAACCAGCTGCACATGTTGACTAATCGACATGACAAGTTCCTCGATACTCTCCGGGAAGTGAAGGTCTGTAGTAGTGTTGGGAGTTGTTTCTCAATCCTGAATTCACTTCTCCATTGCAATAGAGATTTTCCTTTCTTCCATTCCATTCAGTTTCCTCTTCTGTCTCAGTTGAAATCATTAAAAAAAAGAGGTCAAAGACCACAAAAGAGAACAAGTGGATGTGGTAAATTGTTCACTCCAAACATCTAAGTTGTTAAGATTTAGTCAAACAGAAACTGATTCCACAAACCCTCCATTTAATTTTGGGAGGGATCAATTTGTTTTTTTTTTTGTCCGTTGTGGGGCTTGAACTCAGGGCTTGGGCGTTGTCCCTCAGCTCTTCAGCTCAAGGCGAGCGCTCTACCACTTGAGC